TATCTTTACGAAATTTGGCACGGATTTTTAGTTAAGACAACAATGTAATCTCCGAAGAAATTATTCAGATCGGATGACTATAGCATATAGCTACCATACAAACTGAACAATCGGAATGAAGTGCTTGTATGGAAAACTCTTTAATTTGACGAGGTATCTTCACGAAATTTGGCATGTATTATTATTTAAAGCATTAATCTAATCTCCGAAGAAATTGTATGGATCAGATGACTATAGCATATAGCTGCCATATTAACTGAACGATCGGAGTAAAGTGCTTGCATGGAACATTTTTTTATTTGACGAGATATCTTCACGAAATTAGGCACGAGTTATTGCTTAAGGCAACAAATTATTCTCCACAGAAATTGGTCAGATCAGATCACTTTATCATATAGCTGTCATACAAATTGAACGTTCGGAATCAAGTTCTTGTAAGGGGCCTTTGTTTTTGTGAAGGGTATTATAGCTTCGGCGGAACCGAAGTTAACGTTTTTTCTTGTTTAAAAATGTTATAACCTTTCTTCACTTCCCATTGTAGCTTAGACAATTTAACTTTTACTTTTTCGAAAGGTGGCAACTCTTTTCGAATCTGGCAACCCTATTTTAATATATACATATTTTAAAGTTTTATAAACCTGGCAAACGAGTTCGGAATATCTTCAGAAGGCTATTGTAAAACTTCATTAAAACTTTTCGCTACCTTTTTGGGTTTTTGCTCAGTATAGTTATGATATAGGTCACAACTATATTTCAAATATTTTTCAATTGAAAATTACTAGTATCTTTTCTTCCTTTTCTCGAAAATTTATTGCTTAGACCTAATTATAGTGGGAACCAAAATTTTAATGCTGATCACTCTTCGCATACCCGTTATGTGGAAAATCGAAAGAGTGATCCCTCTACAAAACCCGGGGGCATTATCGCTTTCTAGACCTACCGTTAAGTGCCTTCGATGATGGTTGATTTTGTGCTTTCCCCAAAAAAGCGTCTTCGTAATCGCTACAACAACAATAAGAAATATAGGAAGGTTTTGTACTGACCGAAATATACTTTCTGACACTATTTCGATTTTGGCCTTTTCTTCTGACAACAAAAACTATTACATATTTCACCCATATTCCTCATTTCTCTCATTACTCAAAACTATTACATATTTCCCCTATACTTCTCATTTCTCTCATTTCAAATGAAAATTATTCCAGAATTCAGTCGACCAATTTAAAAAAAAAAATTCATTTTTAACACATTAATTGCTGTCAAGTGCAATGTGTTAATGATGTAATCAATTACTTGTCACAAGAATGACATAATTGTCCGTAATCAGGGTGCAGTTCACCAATACAGTTACGCGTTTTACTAGCATAATCGTACTTCACGATATCCAGTTGTTGCTGTCGTCATAATTTTCCGTCTGTCAACAGCAAAAATACGTGTATTTAAAAAAAATCCAATCAAATTCGAAACATCGCTTCAAATTCATTGGACTTTAACCAATTTCAAATAGAATTTGTCAGCGGTGACACAAGCATAATTACTTTGCCGCGCTCTCTTCGTGCACCATCTATGGCTTGGGCATATATATAGAATTTGAAATCGCGACTTATGGTTCATAAATGGCTGTATTTAATTAGATATCCTTAAAGAAATTAGATGGTACAATGAATGTAAAGGATTAGGCTATAAAAGCCACTTTAAGACAAAGTGAAGCGGTTAGGCTTAATTTATGGCAACTCAGGCGATTTATTTGCGACGACTGGCTTTGACAACTTTAGAATATATTCATATACATATTGTTATGTGTATGTATGTCTATATCTACTCATATCTTTGCAATGCCAATTTGGCCACAATTTTACGGATTTAAATGCCATAAAAAATAGTTATCTGTAGTCTACAATTATTTGGCCAGCAGCCAAGTGGCACGAAATATTGGGATTAAAAGCTTATGGAAACCAAAATAGACCACAATTTAATGGGCACTCTACCGGCTTGGAGGTGTACATATATGTAAAATGGATGTTAGGCTAAATGTTTGTTTGTATGTATTATGTTTATATTTATTTTATTTAGAAAAGAATATTTACAGTTGTGCTTTATCTATAGTGAGTTCCCTTAAATATCTACCATAGACTGAAATGGGGTTCTTGAAGAATCAGAACTTCATTTCCTGTTTAAACCAGGAAGAGAAATAATAAAATGCATTGAGAAGATAATAATTTGATAAATTTTAATTGAAATATTTTTTGAACTGGGGTTGCTATTTTAGGCTATTAAAAGATTTAAAATTAAAAACTGTCTCATAAACTTTCCCAGAAAGCTTCATTTAAAGTATCTTTCGCCATAGAGTGTTCATCTATTAAAAATGTATATATTAAAATAATAAAAACGTTTTCTAAAAGTTTTCAATTTAAATATATGTATTTCGGAATAGAGTTGCCACATAAAAGGTAATATTGTGTAAAATACCAATAAAAAGAAGCAGTCACTAAGTATTACAGAAATTCTTTTAAAAAGTTTTCTATAATTCCGTTTTTCCGGTTACGGCCTATTTGTGGGACGCCTTTCGCTAGATTATTGGATAGATCCGACGTCATATTAATCAACCCACATCTCGGCATCAGTAGTGATGGGTTTAATAAAACGACTTATACGACCTCTACACGACGTCGTTTGTACAAAACATTCAGTTCTTTTGGTTTGATTCTAGCATTTACACAGTCATACCCAAAGCATTTACAAAAATGATTAAGTCGTTGCATGAGAAATGTTGAGATCTTTTACTATCACTCTGATGCCAACACGACCATTTTCAAGCACCGTTTCTTAAATTTTGGGATATTATCGTCATTAACAGAGGAGGAGGACGCACGTGGCAAATTTTCGATGAGTTCTCGGCCTTCACCGAACGGTTTGTGTCAAACAACTACTTACAATGCCATTTCATCCATTTTCGGCAAGGCATTATTAGAAAGAGAATATTTCCGAATTTCGTTAACATTTCTTACATATTGACCGATAGATGCGGTATAAAGTTAACCGGAAGTTCGCCAATATTTATATTAGGTATATGGGGGCTAAGTTAAGTATTGACCTGATTTTACCCGTTTTAACAAAAATAGTATTCCCAAATTTCAATACTAGACCAAACAAGTTCACCGATATGTTCGGTAAAAAATCGGCCATGTGCACTGTGGTTCACATATTTGGTGTATGGGTCCTCGAAATATTATAGTTCGGTTTAAGGGCACCAAAGCTTTATTTTGATAATTTTATTGATGTCTAATTTGTATACTGTAAGTGAAAACATCAGATGGAATTAAAAAATTTGTTATGTGGAAAGTAGGCGTGATTTTCATCCGATTATGCCCATTTTAATTGCGTATAATTAGAACTTCATATACCACCACAGTTTGTTTTAAATTGATCAAGTACATCCTGAGGTATAAAATTTAATCGCAGATCTACAAATAATCGCGATCCACAAAGAGATTGCATAAAGATTAATTTTTAATCTTCCCGAAGCAGAGAATATACCATAAAGTGGCTCTTTTGGATAGGCAAATCATAAAAAGTGGAATGATAATTGAGTTAGTGTTATTACTAAAGCTATTAAAATTTTAATGAGAGAAAGAGAAAAACAAGAAATTTTAATAATATTTTCTGGTTTTAAGATATCACCGAAATAAAAGTAGAAAATATACTTGTTTTTCATATTTTTATACATATTCTCAAATAGTCTGCCTGTTTGCTTTTGCCAGAGATTTATCCATTCATAAATTGCTCTAAAAGGCGCTGCTTTAATTTGATCGATGTCTGCTAAACTTTGAACAATCTAATTAGTTAGCGTAAGCTTTTAAAATATATGTGTGTGTTGTGAGTTGATGTTCTTTTCCACGTGATGCAAACACCAGCTAATACTCAAATTAATTATACCTATCCCTTAATGAAGGCAAATTGTGGTCATTTGAAATTTCACAATTTAATGAGTTGGCCAAATTTTGGTTATTTTGGAATTTCATCTGCGTTGAAGGATTTCATAGTAAGTGGTAATTACTTGTAATATAATAGAGTTATTTGGAACTTAAACATTTCACACGGATGGTGCTTTATATATAACAGCATTTCACTTCATCATTAGCTAACTTGAAGTGGGCGACTGCAGGGATAGGGAAGTAAAGTAGCCATGAAGGACATTAGCTCGTATATTCACATATCATATTGATTTATGTTTGAGCTGATAAGAGCGGTGAGTGTGATATCCAAATCATGTATGTCAGATAATTGTATGCATAGTCAATGTGCATGTGAGAATTACCAGGGTACCAGGGAGGATTGTTTTTTGACTTTGAGGTACAATCGATAGCCATAAAAGTGGACAAAGTTATGACGTAAATGTTTTAGGTTAGGTTAGGCTAAATGAGGATTTTGTGCATAAGTCCAGCAAGGATCTTACTTGGACAGCTTTGAACGTCGGTCCAATGTGACACCTTAAGGTCCTATGTATTGATCATCAAGATTCTCATAAAACGACAAAGCGCTTTAAGTTTGTCTGAAATGGATTTTGTATTTGCAAGCGGCTAATACCAATTTCGGCTATCACCTCAATTTGTGTTTGAAAAGAATTTTCGCTTTACTATATGAAGTTGCAAGAGGAGACAATTAAATAACTCCACTTTCAGTTGTTTTACTGTGGTCAATAAGTCATTAAATTAAAAGGCCCTCTCACTAAAAAAGACTTTGTCAGTCTCACATCACTTTTGCTGTGGTGAATATCGTATGAAGTTAAAAAATTAGAAAAGGTAGAATAGAATCGAAAGTAAGCAGATGGTAAATTGAGCTATAAGGGCACTATTCCAAACAATAGAATATTAAAAATTTCTTGAAAAAATCACTGTTTAAGTTCAGGGCCCTTTCGGTCATTAATTTTAAGATCCTCAGATATTTGATGCACTTAATATTCTAGTTAATTTTAATTTAATTTAAGTTTTTGTACTCACCTAGTCTCGTCTTTGGGGCATGGTATGAATTTGATGCATTCTCTCTTTTGAAAATTTGTCTCAATCCAGCTGCGAGGTGTATGCTGCTCGTGCGTAATGTACCGTTATACCGTGTGGCGAAGAGGGCGAAAGTTTATTTGTCAACAAAGTAACAAAGACAGTCAAGAAGAGAAATGATAAAAAAAGGAAAGAGATTAGCGAGTTCAGTTTTATAATATTTTTATTTGTTTTCCTAGAAAATACTTTTTTTTTTGTAATTCATTTATTTTTTTACACTACGTTGAGACAGTTAAAAAACGTTAAAAATTATTTTCTAAATTTTTTGTTATTGTTGTTTAGTATTTTACAATTACCAACAACACTGAAACGGAAGCACAATAGTTAAATATATATATTCATATGTAAATCTGTATGTAGATCAAAACAACAATAATAAAAGACAAACACAAAAAACAACATAAACACACTAAGAAAAACAAAAACAACAGATAGCAAAGTAGAGACAGTGTTGGAAAGAGTCACAGAGAGCGACAGAGCGATAGTAAATTTGAAGAGTAAATAAATTTTTGTTGAAACGAATTTGTAATAAAATCAAAGTAAGTGGTGGAGATGGAAAAATCTATGTTTATGGTTTGCGTTATTAAAAATTAGAAACAAATTAGTAAAAAGTTTTGGTAAAATAAAAGTTTGTTGCGAACATATTCATAACATTTGCCAATCGGGTGCGAGAAAGTGCTCTGAAACACATACAAGTACATTAATTGTTGGAGTTATATATAGGTAAGGCATTACATTTAAGGGAATACAAGTGTAGCAGATGCGATCTCACTTAGAAATCATTAATTTTCACAATATTTTCACGACATTTTTAAATAAAAAATGAACAGCGAGTTTCACTTAGAGCACAGGTATAGGTATTGCCTACCTTTAGGGGCAACCAGTTTCTTAGGAAATTTTCTGATTTTAGTGTTAATTATATTCAATAGTTTACTTTTTACATTAAAGTTTTTATCATTTTAATAATAATTTCATTTGTTACAAGTTAACATGCGCTTTCACATATTCCAATTATTATTCATATGAAGTCGGTAAGTCTTTGTATTACCAGTGCAATAATGACTACAATTTTAGTGCAACTTAAATGCTGCCAATATCACAATTTTTGACATGTTTATTTTTTAAATGAGCTAAAATGAGTGGCAACTATATAATGTACAATAATATAATTTTTTTAGAAATATAATTTTATCTAAATGAATGCCTTTTCAGTATAATTCTACATTTAGTCGTAACTCATGCAAGGATTAACTTAATGCAGTTCTAATTACATAGATTCAAAAGAATTTTATTCAACTCATTATCATTCAATGGAATTTTATTGAATTGAATTCATCTCAATTTAATGTAGTGCAAGCTCAAATCGACTTAATTTAATCTAAATTAGTTCAACTCTACTTGATTCAATTCGATTTAATTCAATTTAATTCAATTTATAAATTAATTGAATTCAGTATAAGTTATTTAATTCAGTTAGATTTAATTAATTTCACAAATACTCAAGGGAACTTGACAATATAGAGCCGCGATGAATTGATTTGCAATGAAGAGGGCAAAGCAGCATATCATCTCATTTCACTCGAAATCAGCTTTCGCTAGCAAATAGAAGTAGGTAGAATAGGTCCCATAGCGGTTGAAATAACGGGTTCTGGCAAATTGTACCAACCCTCCTTGGATGCCAAGATATCTCAGTTTCTACTCAAGTTATCGCTTGCACAAACGGACAGACAGACAAACAATCACTTGGATTTCAACTAGTCTTATCTTACTGATCATTTATATACCATATAAATAACGTCATATCTATCTCGATTAGGTTTAGGTGATACAAGCAACCGTTAGGTGAAGAAAGGAAGTGAAGAGTATAATAATGGTTCGGTTCGTGCGACGTAAGACGCGCTGGGTTCAATATTCAACCGACATAATCGCAGAGTCGGTAATTCAAAAAACCATGGATCGGTTTCGCACCACGTTTACTCTAGTGGATAAGGCGAGTCTCCATCCACTTTAAGATTTTTGTACACCGCTTGACTATTTTTTGTAGAGTTATGTAAAGTTGCCTATTTACGCAGATAAGCCCGAGATAATGGACGCCTTGGAGGAGAATAATCGGCGCGCAAGAAGTTGTCGAAAATTGAGCCTCTCGTCTGGAATTTATTCGAGCCTGCCGCGGCGGTTACTTGCTCAAAATCGTTTTTAAAACATAATGTCAAATCCTTATCTTTATAATAAATCTAAATTCTTGACCATAACATTAAATCAGGTGAGTTTTATTTCTTCTTGAAAACCACATGTCTACACAAAACACCCTTTACTATCGACGGCTGAAGAACTTAAAAGCGAAGCATTAAAGCCTTTAAGTACTTCACGACATTATCCGGAGTAACGTTTTCAGATTAGGAAAGGAAACGCAAATCGGTACGCTACCGACGTATATAAAAATTTAAGCTAAAAAACCAGAGACCGATATCCTTGGAATAAAAAGGGAAGTCTTAGGTTCCGGTGTTAAATTCAGTGAAATATTTTTTTCAATACTTTTTAAATTGTACAGTTCATATTTGCTTCCCAAACCTCCATTTTTCCTGTACTTTAAACAAAACAAAATACAAATATTTGATATTTCTCCCTTCACTTTGTACTTTCATAAGTATCCTTTTCGTATTTACTTTATCCTAACTGTGTGTGCTAAAATGTGCAAGACTGAGAGCGAGCGAGTGTGCGCCACCAGCTTTTTAACGGTAAATGGCTGTGCATTGAAGTGAAGGCTAATTTTATAACGCGCAAAAAAAGGCAAAAGGGACATTGCTTGCAAATATTGAAGACTTAAATGTGCTTTCCTGCACAGGCAAACATAAAAGCGAAAGAGTCTTCTATGAAAAAGAAAAGTCATGGAAGTGCATAAAAAGTTGGATACAGAAACTTTTGTTTTACCTCAGTTGATGGACTTTTATACCCCGGAACACAACTTAATTGCGTTTGCATTATTTACAGCCCATAAAAAGAAAATTTATTTGTAAAGTAGACGCGGTAAAAGTTAACGGTGTTTTATTGCTTTATTTATTGTTGCAATTTTATTTATTGTACAAATTAAACAATTTGTTAGACAAACAAAATCAAAATAATTTTATTTGCACAATCATCGAGTGTCGTTTTGATTACTAATTTATTGTTTTATTTAAGGACATCAGAATGTTTTAAAAATTAGTATCGGTTGGTATATGTCCGTTGTAATATTATATAATCACGTGGTTAGTCTCCATTTTACTGTTTAAACACTATAGGAAACCACAGTGTTAACCACACAAAATATTATGGTCCAACTCGCTACTGAAAAGGTGCCGAATTTCTGAATAAACTTCACAATTATGTCAAATGGATTATTTTGTCAAAAAGTTTACCTCTGGCTTTAAAAAAACACCTACTTGACAAAGCTTAAAATACAAAAAAAAATGCTAGTCTTAGGCGTGTTCTCAGTTTAGGCTCTCATACAAAATTCTCAAAATTTCTTTACCCAACAGTTCATAAAAATACACATAACTAAATTCATCCTTGATTTGAGCCCACATACCTGAATTTTTTACAATGAGGCCTTCCTGAACTGCTAAACATCTAGCCTCAAAAAATCTAGTCTCGGTGTTCATAGGCTTAAACTCCCCCAATAAAAAGAGGAACTTTTACAACTTTTATAAGTTTAGTTGTACCCGTACTTATGACTTTATAAACTATTGATACTACTGTGATCAAAAATGTCACACTGTCATTGGTTCTTCGCGACTGTTGCCAAAAACTCAACTCAAATCGTTCCGCAAACATCGTATTTGCCTGATTTGGCTACGTGCGACTTCAGGCTATTAAACTAATTTTTTTTTTTTGACAAAATTGTGGAAATAAAAACTGAATCGAAGGATGTCTTGAACGCTATACCGGTAAAAGACTATTCCGATTGTGTCGAGGAAAAGAAAAACGTTGGCAAAAGTACGTCTAATTGCACGGGGAATTTCACAGTAAAGGCGTTGCAATAATAGTCCTGCTCTATTTTTAGGGAGAGAAATTATACATGAGTTCGTATATTTGCTTTTGTGTTATATTTTTACTAAGATATTCTACATATGCAGATATTATCAGAATTTTGACAGGTTTTTTGAAATAACGTCAAAAAAGTAACTCTCTCGGAAAAAAACTAAAAAAAAGGTGTTAATGTTTCTGGATAAATGAGCGCATTTCTCTTTAAAGAAAATCAAAAAAAAAAAAAACGGTTAGGAAATACGAAATTGAGATTAATTTATTTATCTATTCGTGGGGATAATTTACATATATGTTAGGTTAGGTTAGGTTAGAGGGTCGATCCTAAGAAGGATCACACTTGGACAGCTTAAACGCCGGTCCGTTGTGGTATAATTTAAATATAAATCTACATAAATAACTGCAGCGTCACACCAACAGTTAATTCACCGGCACTCATTAGAGCTTAGACTTGTCTCATTTGAGCTTAGTTTTGATTTTTCCGTTAAAATTTCGAACTGTGTAACAGAACAAATCAATGCGGAAGGAACGACTTGGAGGCTCACTTCAAAGCATCAACTTCTCTCTACGAGAAAACGTCAGGTTGTACTATAGATACTTTTTCAACAACGTAAGAAGAAGTAGAAGTGGATGTAATAAGAAAAGGTTAGATGGATTACCGTTGAAGCATTTGAAATGAAAGTATCCTGGACTACTTCTAAACCAACTAGCAACTAACATTCGCCAGGAGCAATGGATAGTTGAATACCGGCTATCAATCAGTGAATCAAAGGTCCAAAATTAATGGACTTTTCATAAGCCGGTTGGAAACTTTAACAACTTTGATATATAAGATATTAAGAACTAGATCTACTAATTAAAAAAACACTCAGAATAAGCGGCGCCTCAGAGAGTTCATTTATCTTCAGTCCCACCTTCACCGCTGCAATTAGCCACTAATGACTTATAAAAACGACTCCACAAAAAATAATTTGCCATCCGCCGAGATTCGAGGTAATCTGCATATTTGCCATGCAACAGAGCTACACCGGGCAGCAGTTGCTATAAACGACCAACCAGCTGAGGCAGAAAAACTTTTAAAGAGACAGTCAAACAACTACAAAGCGCAAAAGCACAACTCAATCAAGAAGTGATATTACAAACTGCATATCAGAGGGAAAATATAAGTAAATTCGATGCAGCGAGCGAAGAGTATGACAACAAAACCAGCCAAACAGCAGGAAAGTGAGCGCATAACGGCAATGAAAACGCAAACATTGACTGAGTGGTAATTGAGAAATTGCGAGAAAAGCAGAAAGATAAAAAAAAACCGCCACTTTTTGCGGGAGTACTCGTCGTATGGCTTGGCTGAGTGCAACAACACGCGGCCAACGAATTATAATTACACTCTCGACGAACACTTAGAGCAGAGCTGGCTAGTTGGCAATGGATGGACTACCATACACAGAGTGAGGGTGACACTACAAGTATGGGAGAAAAGAGGCTCAATGCAGTCACCTACATACCTCGTTCTGCTTGTCCCGCATATCGGCCACTTTCAGCAAATCACGCACATTCAGTATGAGCACACGCGTGAGCGTCGATGAGACGGAGGAACGTTTGCGTGCATAATGACGCCGTCGTATGCCGCGAAAGGATTCGGTTTTGCCGATAGTGACGTCATTAAAATCACACGCTTCAAAGGAAGCTGACTGTGCGTCGTCTGGTGAGAGGTATTTTCTGGACGGCTGAGGTGCTGGTGGCGGGGTTACAGTACGTTGTGGCGCTGAACTGAAACGGCGCACTGTCGAAAAATCTTTCGAGACGCGACGCAGATATTTTTGCGCGGCACGCGGTGAGTCCGCGATAACCATAGCGGCGGCGGCGACGGCGCTGGTGGTCTATTGAAGTGGTGGTGCTGACGCGGCTGGCGGGTGTGCGCGGGAATCATGCGACTTAGGCGCTTATTTCACGATTTCTCATTAGCAATTTTGATATTCGATTACACGACCGCTTTGCCGGCCATTTGTGGCTTTCACTCGGCTGATTTGTATTACTCTCTTATTGGACGCTACGAATTTGTCCGCTTAGACGATATTCTTTTCGCAAATATGTGCAACAGACTGTGCGCTGTTCGCCGTCGTAGACTTTCTTACACTTATTCTACTTGTTGTTCGCTTTCACTTGAAACTTATGAAAGTTTTTAATTAAATTCACAACACTTTGCAATTAATTGCGCACCGCGTCTGTTGTGGCTCTATAAAGAATGTAACGGTACGTATGCTCGTTTCAACGCGCCATTAACAGTTATGTTGACTGCCATATATTTTCGCTCAGCATCAACCACAATCTACGAGCCGAGCGTCCACGCTGCGGTTAGGCAGTAAACTGCACTTTCGGCTCTGATCCGCTGTCGCCATCACCTAAGCCCTAAGCGACTTGTCAGTTTGTTCGTCGTAGACTGTTAGACGGTTGGAGATAGATAGGTGACTTGGCGTATACATATTTATGTGTGTACATAGATGAATCTATTACTAAGTATTTGCGCTAAAAATAAATAACTGTAAATATACACAGAAGCATTGATATCTGGTAACCACTCAGTCAAAGTAGGTGAACATGTTGAGAAAAAGAACTAGTTCAGAACTGTACATTTTTTGACTGAGTTTGGACTAGTATTACGGTTATTATATAAGATCCAGAAAATTAAACATGGAAAATTTTTGAAAACACCCTCCACTCCCCAACCGAATCAATATCGGAAATAAATAATTTTCAAACAGTATCAACACAAAGCCATTTCAAACATACTAGTCCTACATTAGATTTAGATCTATTTATCATAAGGCTGGGTTTGCCTCACTTTCACACTCTCAACGAATATTTATAGGTGCATAGAGAAGTGCGGAAGCTGTTGCTGGAACACGGCAAATGCTGTTTTTATTTACGATTTTTTTTTTTGTTTATTTATTTAGATTAGCAAAACGAGTTATACTTGAAGGGACAGGGCTGCCAACTTTCTAGCACAGTTATTGCAACAGGAAGCTATAAGCCTTTTATTTATAGGCACACAATTAATGAGAATAATGGCGAGGAGATAGGTGGAAATTTATGAGTAAAATTTCATAATTTAAGCTTTCTTAAATTCTGTATTAAGTTTTTTTAAAAAAACATTATAATTTTTGGTTCGTAAGTGCTAAGAAAGTTTCTTTTAATAAACTAAAGGCCGACTTTTACAGCCTTTCAAGCTTTCATAGTCTTCATTTCTTTCATAGTGAGTCATTAATAAAAGCTCTCATTTTTCTACTATTTTAATTCAAATATATTTGGATTTACTATTCCACATTCTATGCATTGAAATTATAACTACTGACTGGCTGAGCTTTGGGAGCTTTCAACTTGTGTATGTACACTAGAAAGCTTAAAAGAGAATTTTAAATAATTTTACATGAATATAGTAAAAGCTTATTTAAATTCATCTCATTAGTTCCGTACAAAAAAAATTAAAAACTATTAATTTTTTAGAAATATTGAAGTTTTATTTTTTAGAGAGCTGCACAAGAAAATATTATATTTTACTTAACAATTTGAGTTAAAGAAACGTTTAAGTGAAATCATAAAATAAGCTCTTTATTTAGTTGAGTTCATTTCAGTACAGTTCACTAAAAAGCGTTTAAAGCTTAATTTAGAACTTAGCAGATTATCTTACTTTAAAAGTCAGGGGTCCTTTTTTTAAATTTCAGTAAAATATCTCACAAAAATTCAAATTAACCGAAGATGTTTATGTTTAAAAAATATATAGTTGTGAATTAAAAGCTTTTGAAAGCTTTTGCGCTATCATTAAAAAATTATTATTTTACTTATATTGTTAAAAGCTTCTTACAAAATTCACTTTTTCACTTCCTACTCGTCAAATGATAAAATTTATTCAGACTTTAATTTTGTCACTACTGAATATTTAGGCAAGATGAAGTTGTCTGAACACAATAGAAATAAGCAGTTAATGCTAAAACCTTTAACAATAAACGCATTAACTAATTTTGTTAAAAAAAAAAATTTTTTAAGTGCGAACTTAATAAAGCATATTCGAGCTTTCTAAACTTTCAATTTCGGATTCAGTTTTGTATTTGCTCTTAAGCTTTTAAAATTATTTTAAAATTCTAAGCTTAAAAAAGCTTTCTTCGAGCTTTTAAATTTTTTTTCAATATGAGTTTCACTTTCAGCGTTAAACATAAAATCGATGCCACACTTTCTGTTAAAGCTTTTAAAAATAGGTTTCAAAGTGTAAACTTTGAAAAGCTTTTTTGAGCTTTTACGATTTTTTCAATATGAGTTTCATTTTGAACTCAAAACATAAAATCGATACTATACTTTCTGATAAAGCTTTTAAAACTTCTTTAAAAAGTGTAAACTTAAGAAAGCTTTGTTGGACCTATCCAGCGCTTATCAATATTAGTTTCATTTTCAACACAAAACATTATTGGATCTTTAAATACATTTTTGAATCTATGCTACAAAAGCTTACACAATAAATGGAAGCTGAGTCTCGCTGAGATTATAACCAAAAATGTTAATGGCTGCTAAGTCTCTACATGGATTCAATGAAAGCAATAAATTTAATAACACTAAACACTTCTAGGAAGCTATTTTTATACATTATTATTAATAAAACTTTTGAGCTTTCAATCAAAAAAAGTTAAGTTCATATTTAGACTAATTTTTGAGTAGAGTTTTTATGCTTATCCAAATAGATATTATATTAAATTTTGTTTGAACTGAACTTTAATTAAAGGATAAAAAAATATATATATAAATTCTGCAAAATTCATATTTAAAAGTTATTTTTTCTTAATTTAGTTAAAATAACTCATTTTTATCTAATCCTTGTCTTAAATTGGGTTTATTTCAGCAGTGACGTGTAATCAAACATAAATATAAATAAAAATCCCTCAACGCTAAAACTTTCCATCAAAATTCCCACAAGGTTAGCAGCTCTGACGGCCGTAGCTTCCATTGAAGTGAGTGCGTTGATGCGCTGCCACCGTTTTAATCATCTCCAGCAGCTAAACAGACGTCAGCGAAGTAAACTTAGCGTACACATTATAAATAAAATAAAAACAACGCAAACATTGTAAAATGATGCGCGGGTGTCTGTTGTTGATCATCCATATAGTTTGTATGTATGTATGGGTGTGTACAGCTGATAATCACACTGAGTAAACATTTTCCTGACGTTGTCTAAAATTGACAATCAGCTTATCTCGCTGTTATGGCAACAAATCGGTAGCGCTGTGCACCAACAACCATACACATTCACTCACCTATTCAATGCAAAGACAGTTGTAAGAACTTATGCATTTCTCTCCCTCCAACAGCAGATGCACACGAACACGTGCGCCCTTTGACTGCATGTGCGGTGCACTTTTCGCAGAGACTGTGCAAAGCTGGCGCGTCGATGGTGTCTAAATTAAGTTTACTTGCTTGGCAGCCGTGTGTTGAGAGTATCGGTCGGACAGACAGACAACGCATAGCATAATGCCACACACGCTTGCCACCGCTACAGGCAGAGCGCTGCGTTTATCGGCGAGAAGCACGCGCGTGACAGCAACAGATGAGCGCATATGTGAAGTGGAATGAAAAGTTATAAATTGTAACTGAAGGAACATCACTTGCACGCATATGAACAAACACACGCGCGCGCACAAATATGTATGTCCGCTTCCGCCCAACAAAGCAATAAATAACGTGACACATCCGATGTGGCAGCAACAAGGAGCGCTGGCATCTTCGCACAGCCACAACCATATTCGCGTCCGCATCCGCATCCGCAGTGGCCTGCGCTCGGTTTCCCGCGCACACATCGCTGTCATTGTCTCTGCCACTCGAAGCGTTCGTATGTGAAAGTGGCAAGCGCGTGATGCAATTAGTTGCTCAACTATGTATGTGTGTATGTTCTTGTTACTACTACAGCATCCCTCTAATTTTGGGCAACTGTGCTTCTCTCAAGCGCGCCATATTCCTTTGGAATCGCTGGTGCTGCGCTGCGTTGCCAAGCTCTTAAGCGCTTATTAACTGTGTTGGCAGTGCCAAAAGTGTCAATCGCTTGCTTGCGGGCAACACAAGTAATTGTGGAAGCAATTTGCGTAATTGCTGGGGTTTACGTGTAGTTTTCGTTACGGTAAGAGTCTCAGACAGCTGTGGGGTTTGGTTGAACACAAGTGACCTAAAACCAAATTTTATGTTCGCTAACTGCAAGTTACGATATCAGCAGAAAACTGTGGAGCGTTCTTTAATACTCAATTGGTTTGAATGCTCTATTTTCTCTCCGTGTATACCGCCTGCAGCTAAGATAAGTGTATTCAACTTATTTGAAGACTATCAACCCTCACTCCACTTAACAGTTTGGCAATTTGACGTCTGTTCTCGAATAATGAAGTTTAAGTCGAGATGATTCGCAGTCAAAAGTTATACAAATGTGTGCCGCTTTTTTTCAATCAAATAAGAGTTGACAGCTTTTTGGTACGCATCAAACTTACTGTATAAAGCTCAGGTACTATTCCGATATCTAACAAAATAAAATAGTATCCACTTCCTTCTAAGTTTTCTTATTTAACTTATATACTTGTAGTCTCATAAAATGACAATGAAAATAACTTGGGGTGAGATGAAATAGAGGAAGAAATCTTCCATTAAAACATTGCGGCAGGAAAGTGGTGCCGCGGCTTAAATATCAAATAGAATTGGAGATTTCATTATAAGAAACCACTTCTCAGCAGCTTTGAGCAATAATTTTAACTGCGAAATCGGAAAAATGAAATCAGAAAAACCCTTCAGTTCGATCTCATGTATGAACAAAGCGCTTCGAACCCACAATCACAAATCTGAATGATTGACATCGATTAGTCAATAACCAGTTAAATCCTTAGAGCTTGAGAAAGGCGTTCCTCCCATGGTCCACTGGGGTCAAAGTAATCGGGCGATATGGTTGATATTATCAACTACAAATTGATCACCCTTTGAGAAGCAGGAGTATATGCTAAGTCGTAATTTTCGCTTTCTCCTTTTTGTAGGGAAAAGCACTAGACATCTTAAAAAGATTACGCTGAGCGATCGTGCGATATGAAAAATAAGGGCCTACGGATCGACTGGATACCGTAATGACAGGTACCAATATAATACAAATTGAAGCTGCTTATTACAATGCATAAAGATCATATCTATTCAGACTTGACTCAACACTAATCATCTTTTCATATGGCTTTCAACGGAACCAGTGTTGTTAGCTTTTCTCCCTTTTTAACCCTACCGAACATGTAGGTTTCAAAGGCTCCACTCTTCTGGAAAACTTGAAGTTAAAATAAAACTTCTAAAACAGATCTAGAATTATATTACCAAATAGATAATACAGATAGCATATTATTTTGGTTAAGTGACTCTTTTTGATTTCTGAACCAGAACAAAGTCTTTTGCGGTAGAAGATTT